GAGTTGCTAGTGATTGTAAACTGATCATCTATCTGGTTGTGTAGCGTAATGGTGTCGTTTGGGATGACTAAACCTTCTCGGGTTCTTCTCTGTGACAGGGACATGTCACACAACCAGCTCTCTGGAACAATACCAAGTGGATTCAGCAATTTACAAAAGCTTGTCAAGCTGTAAGATAATGAGCGACAACTGCTTACACAGAAAGGCTTTGTTTCTGTTTTAAAGGATCTCTCACGCTGGCTTCTCAAGATACACACTAAATCTCAAGCACTTACTTAATTAGGTCTTTTTCTTCTCACCTGAACCTTTCGGTTTGTCTCATTGTCTTAAAACACAAATATCTACTGAGCTGATGGAAATAAGGCCTCTGCAGCCCACTTGTCTTCTTTTGACAAGTTCAGCAGGTTGCAAAGGCTTGTCAAAAGGGTATCTAATGAGCAACGGCTGCTCACAGAGACAGGCGCGCTACCTTGCGTCATGGCAGCAGTCGAAGTGGGCTTTTCATAGTCCAGCCTATTCTCATCCGAGCCTTTTCCGTGTTTCAAGATGCCTCGCAACTTGAGCGACTGTGTGTGTGTTTTTTCCACATTTGTTGTCTCTCCCATGCGCCAGGGATCTGAGCAGCAACTACCTGTACGGTGGCACGCTGCCCACCACCATGTGCAATTCCTCCCCAACATCACTCGCCCTCTCGCTGCAAAACAATTGCTTCTTTAATCTCAGCTTACCCTGCGCTCTCAACCGCACCCAGCGCTCCGATTGCTCAGCCTTCTGCAACCTCTCCCCTCCAGCCACCCTGCCCTGTTCTGGACGAGGCTACTGCTTCTGGAAAGGAGGGGAGAAAACAGGGACAGCCACATGTGCATGCGGGGTAGACATTGAGACAGGAGGCACTTCCAGAGCGTGCGACGGCATTCTCCTGAATTCTGAGTGTAAGTCTCCGGATGCAAATGCATACTGCCTTGTTTCCCGCAATGTTTCTGACGCCTCAAACGTCATTCTGGCCTGTTGCTCTTCTCCTGCCTGACACACAGGGGAAGCATTAAAAGCGCTGAAAGATTCGTGGAGAGGGTATGACGCGGATGGCACGTGGAGGCAAGACACCAAATGTGCCAATATCACGCACATTACATGCGACAAAGGATACCAGATTGTGAGCATGTAAGGGGAACGGCAGTGCTGGCAACTTCGTTGTTGATGGGATAGGCAGTGTTGGTTGTTACATAGTCAGTCTGTGATGGTTGAGGCAAGGCTGGATGGACTGAGTCAACAATGAGCACAAATCTGTTCTCTTCAGCTCTGGCACCTCGGCTAGCTGACGCGGGCACGAGTCAAGAAATTTCGAGCCAAATTAAGTAAACTCAATCTCGAGGTAGTGACATTTCGAGCTTGAGACCGACTCAAGACTAAAACATATAGAGTTACTCTCAGGTATGAAAGTGTGTTGCGGCTAAAAATATATAAAATATGGTAGTCGGCACAGCACACAAGGTACGATTACTGGCATCTGCATAGGTCGGATCGAGTCGGGCCATGCATCGGCCCTTCTTTCTCGAGTTGAGTCAGAGTCGTTGCTCCACTCATTTGTCCATGTCTATCCTTTGGTATTCTGGCATGCCCCTGCCCCTTCATGCCACTGCCCTCGCGACTGCCTCTACTTCTCAATTCCCCAACTTCTAATGCGTCTACTTACCCCTCCATGCTGACCGTTTGGCACAGTCAAGTGGAAAACGTTGCAGTTTCAGGAAGCATACCAGCGCTTATTGGGAATCTCATCCATCTGACCAAATTGTGAGGCCACAACCCTCAGCACCACATTCCACCTGCTAGCACCAATCTATGCACCATATCTCCCATCTGCCAGCACCACTATATGTATGCACCACATCCATCTGACTGACTGTACAACACTCCTCCCTTGACCTTGTTGTAATTCCCCTATACCAACCTTGCCTGCATGTTGTAGGGAACTTCTCCACAACCGTCTCAGTGGCAGCTTTCCATCAACCATCTCACAGCTTACCAACTTGGTCAAATTGTAAGGAACAATGTACAGCTCTCCAAGGTGGCCTCTTTAGGCATTCTTCTGTACTCTTAGAGATTGTTACATTTGTTCGATCGTGTGTGTACTTCATTTCATCCAAGTCACAGCACCAAAATTCCACCTCCATGGTTGGATTTCAGATTCGGTCTGAGATTGAATATACATATGCGCATATGTATATGTATATGTATATGTATATGTATATGTATATGTATGTGTATGTGTATGTGTATGTATGTGTATGTGTATATGTATGTGTATATGTACATGTACATGTACATGTATATGTATACAAATATGCATATTTATATATGTATAGTTTATTTTTCCCAGCCACATTAAAAACTCGTTCATGTAATACGTTCTGTACTCGTACTACCTTGGACTAAAATTTCTCCATCTGCATTTCACAAGCCGGCCAAGGGCCGACCTGTGCCTATGAAATCTCATCCTTATGCTATGATGTGCACTCGTCACAGGAGTTTGCGGAATAATTTCTACAATGGTGAACTGCCTGAAGCCGTTTCAGTGCTGAGTCGATTGGAGACGTTGTGAGTCATGTTGTTGCTTGCTTGCTAATTTGCATTTGGTAGTTGTGAGAGCTGTTTGCTAAAACCAGTTATAGAGAAAAACATTTGTTTGAAATCTGGTAAAAGAAAGAAGGTGTTATACTTCGGATGAAGTGGGGATTGGAGAGGAGAACACAGATGAGTGGGGCACGTGATTTATACGGGAAGATCCTCCAAGCAAAGTTCTGCATGGTGGCGATTAGAGCACTGGTTGGAATGTGTGATGTGCGATTCATGTTGTTGCGAGTGTGTTTTGGCACAGCTGCTATATAATCTCATTCATGAGTAGGATTGAGTAGCCATGAAGGAATACATACAGATTGTCTGCTAGTGAGTTTTGTTCTTGTTTATTTTCAGAGGGTTTCTAAACCGCCTATGACATGTGGATCTTCTGCTGCTATTACAGGGAGATCGGTGGCAATAAATTTATTGGTCAGATCCCACAATGGATTTGCAGCATGACGAAGCTGACGTACCTGTGAGTGCGCTTCTTCCACGGTATGGGACGTTGTGTGACTGCTGAACACCATCCCTTCCTTCCTACCTACTCCTGGCGTTGCATGGATGCATTTTTTGGAACAAGTACTACTTTTGCATCGTTTTCTCTATGTGTGTACTGCATGTACCCAGAATATGCTACTAACCACCCATTGTAAACCGGTCGTCCACCCTGGAATATGTCTCCACTCTTATATACTAGCGCCTGGTTAGCCTCAAAATTGTTCTGCAATGCTCCGGGTGTTGCGAGCAGCACATTTTCCATGCTCCCTTTTTTGCCTCTCTGCATGACAGAATGCTCGGGGACAACAGATTTCACGGTCCTATTCCTGAGTGCATGTCAAGTTTAAAAAAACTCAAAATTTTGTAAGTTCACACGCAACATAGCATGGACATAACACTCAACATAGCACTCCAAGCTTTTAATCAGTCCACCTGAAACGTGCTGTGGCTGCACCTGCATGGTGGGCCGCCGTACAGCATTGCCTGCTGTCAAGGAGTTCGAAGGTAATGATCACAACGCTCTCAGGTTCCGATCATTTCTTATTTCCCGCTCTGATTATATAGGAAACAAACAAATTCTTAATGTATGAAACAATATGAGAGGTTTGGATACAAGCAAGTAGGGAACTTGGTAGAAAATGTTTTCAGGTAGTGTTCGCAAGTCCCTCGGACTGCAAATAACCCCCATATCCCGTGACCAATCTGCAGGACCCTGCAGCACAATAACTTTTCTGGAGAGGTGCCCTCGTTTCTGGGATCATTCAAAAAACTTACAAGACTGTGAGCCTGACCCTCCATCCATCGTGCTGTCATGTGATCTATCTTGTTCAGCATGGCCTCAATACTTAGACAACCCTGTTTCAATTGTTTAGCGGTTCCTTTAAAACCGGTTTTATCCTGCAGCGTGGGTGTATCAATGAATGTGCATTCACATGCGAGAGTGTACTGCGTGGCAGTAAATCCGCGTCTTGGGCATAGCAATTCCAACACACGCATGGATACCAACACACGCATGCATACTACCAACACACGCATGGATACCAACACAAGCATGCATACCAACACACACATGGATACCAATGAACGCACATGTCTTCCAATGAACGTATGTATGCAAATGAATGTATGCATACGAATGAGCACATGCATTTCAATGAAAGTATGTATACCAATCAACGAAGGTGTATGAATGAACGTATGCATATCAAAAGCAATTAATGTATGCATACCAATGAACACATGTATACTAATGTAACGCATCCATTTCATTGAACCTATGAACGCACATGTCTACCAATGAATGCATGTCCACCGATGAGAGTATGCATACCAATAAACACATGTATACCAATGAACGCATACACAGCAAAACGCATGTATCTTATTGAATGCATCTATCTCAATGAATAATGCATGACCTTGTGTATGAATGGCAAGCAGGGACTTAAGCAACAACCGTTTTTGCGGAAGCATACCATCTGCAATTCCGCATCTGAAGTCTCTCAAACATATGTAAGTATCAGAACTCCTCTCACCATTCTCACAGGACCTCCTCTTCGCCAGACCCAAGAGCTTCACGCATCTGAACAGATTCAATCCTGGCCATACTTAGACAATCTTGCTTGTAGATTGATGATGCTGTAAGTCAAATTTTTGGTGTAAAGCCACCCTCTTATTTTTCAATACCTCACACTCACAGATCGTTGCATAACAATATGCTCAGTGGAGCCCTGGTGGTGCCGCCACGGAAGGCCACTTTCACTGCGTACAACAATTATTTTTCCGTTTCTTCCTTCAAGCGAAAATCTTGCAGCAAGAATCTTTGTGAAGGCAACTGCTTCACTTTCAAAAGATCATCCAAATGCGCCAAAATCCGCCAACGACCGATGAGTGAATGTTCTTCATTCTGCGGGATTTCAAGCAAAAGCCCTCCCTGTGGGGGGTTTGGCACGTGCGTTCTTGAAGGCATTCCTGAGAAGCCTGTTTGTCACTGTAAAGAGGGGTACGTCCAAGAAGAGTCTCAAAGGAACTGCATTTCTAAAGGTAAACAAATTATGCATGCCATGACTACATACTTCTCCCACATCACCTTTACATATCAGCGTCACATGTCACCTGCACATATCACCTTCACACATGTCACTTCACATATCACCTTCACACATGTCACTTCACATATCGCCTTCACACATGTCACTTCACATATCACCTTCACACGTGTCACTTCACATATCGCCGTCACACATGTCACTTCACATATCACCTTCACACATGTCACCTCTACATCCTTCACCTTCACATATCGCCTTCGTTGCCTGTGCCCACAATCAGCGCATCCCTTGTTGATGGAGAGTTCCAGAGCAAGTGCATTTCGGCAAAAGCCTCCTGAGTCAATCATTTGCATTCCGTGTCGGACAAATGACACATCAGCCAGCTTTACTGACAATCCCAACTTCGTGATTAGATCTTGACTCCACGCTCGTATCGCATGCTTCTGTGACTTCACAATCAACTCAACCTGCCACGTTTCCTGCGTTTTCTTTGAGACTCTGCAGCACAGGGCTACCCCCTATTTACCGATCTGATCACAACCTCGGTCACCCTCACCGAGCTCACAGCACCATCCACCGGATCCGTCTTCTCCGAGACGGCCCTCAATCTCTTCTCGTATAAGACCATCCGAGATAACTGCGGCCGCCAGTTCTACTTCAACGCCAACTTTTCATTCATCATGAAACCGAAATCTCCTGGCAGCGGCGGCAACGGGCTCGCGTTTGTCATTTCTGCGACAAAAAAGACTGCCAGCAACATCGGCAGCGGCGTGGGGAATGCTGGCATGGACAATCGCAGCATGGCAGTGGAGTTTGACACGTGGCCGGACAAGGAGCACAAGGACCCGAGCGCAAGTCATGTGGGAGTCAATTTGAATGGCAGCCCATTTTCGAAAGAGACTGCCAACACCCCTACTGCGCTGAACAACGGAAAGATGTACTTTGCATGGGTGGAGTACATTCCTGAGGCAGAGAGCTTGAAGGTGTACCTCGCGGATGAATTCAATGCTCGCCCGGTCGAACCCGTGCTGTCCATGAGCCTCTCTCTGTGTAACGTGCTGCAGCCCACACAGTCGCTCTTCGCCTTCTACTTTGGCTTTGTAGCTGCCTCACGCCTTCACGCGCAGAAGCATACTGTCGCCACGGCATCCATTGTAACAGGCAAGCCTGCCGTCTCTAGGAAGGCAGAACCATCCAAGCACTTGCAGAGACCAGATATGCAGTAGTATGCATGGACGTGCAACATGTGATTGCTTGCGCATACACAGATTGTGCGAAGTCCGAACGATACGAGTCAGCAACCTCATCTTGACGTTCGAAATCCACTTCCAGGCTAAATCCTAAACTTCTTCTCTTGACTATTTATACATGCCTTGTGTTACTTGGCAGGATACAACGTCCCTCCCCCACTTCCAGTTGACAGACGTATGTTATGCAGCTGTTGTTTTTGTTCCTTGGTATAGCCGCTTGTAGGTATTGCATTTGTGAGTGACTTGATAGGAAAAACCCGCTTATGCTTGCATGCATGTGAAGAATCTTATGGGTGTATCAAACGGCGTGACGACGTTGCTTGCAGCCGGCAGCAGTAGGTACAACACACAAAGGTAAGCATGCTGAAAGCAAGATGTAACGTAGCAATCCTGTTGGTGACCCAGTTCTGCGATGTTCAATCCTCACCCCCACCCCTTGCTGATGCTCTCTGCATGCAGGCACGGGTCTGCTCGTGGACTACGATACGTTCAACCCGCAAACGACGAGCCCGTTCACGCGCTATGTGAGCGTGAATTACGCCAGCGCGCAGGACGACCAGGACTCGTGGCGGATACCCACTTACTCCACCTGGACCATCGACCCGCACTGGCTGCCCCAGGACCAGGGCGATTGTGGTGAGCCTGGTTGAATCTTGAGTTGAATGAAAAGGCTCACGCAGTGAGCCAGGTGTTGCCTTGCAGCCGCTGTGCTATCCATGAACTGACCATGCCAATGCGTGCAGCATCAGCATTTCCCTGCCAATGCGTGTCACTCCTGCTGCTGCCCTTTGGACTTCATAGATTGTGGCTTCCTCCATTTTCGCCTCTGCACATTTGCTCGTCTAGGCTCTGTGGTTTTTTCCCCAGCCTGCAAACCTCAGTTCGGCTCTTGCCTTCATCACCCTCCCTCTCCACTCGTGCAGGGGGCTGCTGGGCGTATGCGGTGGTGGCAAGCATAGAAGCGGCATACGCCATCGCGAGGAACACCCCCAAATCATTTCCATCGTTGTCCATCACATCCCTCTACGCTCTCATGGGAATGGATGGCTGCACCAGCGGCTCTCCCACCATTGCCTTTCAAACGCTCGCTGTCAAGGCCACCGAGGACAAGGACGGCCTCACTGCAGAGCCAACCAGCCCTACCACCACCACTTCCCGTGTCACCTCCCGTTCCTACTCCTTTTCGTCCTTCTTTTCCTCCTCCTCCTCCGCCTCTCCATCCTCTCCCTCCTCTTCCCTTGCCACCCTCAACTCATATTTATTCCTGGCCTCATCTCCAGCAACACATCACCCTTCTTCTCTTAGAACAACTTCTCTCACCGGGTCACCACCACCACAACCGGTATGCACTCTTTCTCATTTACCTCTATCTGCTCATTGCCAAGTGACTCCAACCCTGGCGTTATCATTTATGACCATTGGCAGAAGAAAGAGGGTAAGAAATTACTCAAAAACGTCTGAAGTGATGCCATGTCTGTTCCATTTGAGGGTAAACTAGCCAGCACTACGCGCTCAGAAGAACTGCCACCAAATCCTGCCTTGTGTGTACCTGTGCATGTGTGTGTGAATGTGTCTGTGCATGTGCATGTGCATGTGCATGTGCCTGTGCCTGCAGGATAAATATCTGGTGCATGGGTTTGAGAGGACAGCATTCAAGGGGTACTTTGGGCTCATGCTGGCAGTGGGGCGCCAACCCGTTGTGGTGCACATCCAGGCCAGCGCTACTTCCTTCACCACATATGACGGGGTACGCATGAAGTAAAATAGTTTTTATCAGCTACGACGGGGTATGATCTATTATCACTCATAAAGGAGATACGGATGAAGGCTGACGAATCTGACACCTGATACTACTGCGGTTCAATTCAGGCCCACAATATATAGCATGCCATAAATACTCACTACCACACGTCTTAACGGTCCTAGTTACTCAATATTTGCGGGTATGTCTCAATTCACATTGAGAGGTTGACTGGCTTATTAGCCCCATGCCCTGTGTTCTGCCTTAGTGTCATGTCAACTGTGCTTGTGGTCTTTGCTGGGTTCTTTTCAGCTCGTGGCCCTCTGTGCCCTCTGTGCCCTCTGTGCCCTCTGTGCCCTCTGTGCCCTCTGTGCCCTCTGTACCCTGCTGGTGCATGCAGATACTCAAATACGAGGATAAAGGGTGCTATACGGGCAACCTCGACCATGTTGTACTTGTTACAGGCTACCTCATTGCCGGCACTGACAATACCCGCCCAACCATGTCCGCGCCCTTCTGGAAGATCCGCAACTCCTGGGGCACACGGTGGGGGGCGAATGGGTACATGTACATGCAGATAACAGACGGAGATGGCATCTGCGGCATTAATGTGCTGCCTGGCATCTACCCGGTCATCCGATGTGAGCCCTTGTTACTCCTCAAATTGTACGACACTGCCTCCATGCTTTGGTCTAGTTCAAGTCGCCTTGGCCAACAGGCTGGTCACTCAAAAAATAATCCTGGCATCTCGGTTCTATAATCTTATGCCCGCTGGATCGTGCCACCATGCTCACGTGTGATGGTCATTCACGTTTTGCATCACTGCACCAATGCATGAGAGTTACACCTGCAGCCTGCTGCTGGTGTCTTCTCATTCAGTGGTCACTCCCTCCCCTCACCCGTCCTGACCCTCGGATCAGTCGAGGAAGACCCTTGCATGACCAAGGCGTACAAGCTCAAGAGTGAACCAGGCTCCGTCATGAACCCATGTGGCTCCTACACGTGCAAGACCATAAAAGACACTTTCAACAACAACTGTACCTGCAAGCCTCCCTTCGTTAATGTTGTCAATCGTGACAAATCTCACACCTGTGCCTATGGTGGGTCGTGATTTGGGACTTATGTCTACTACCTCTAGTTAGAGTTTTTGTTTGAAGAATCAGCTGTGACTGCTCACCCGCCTGTGTGCCCTGTCGCTCGTGTGTGATAGTGGATGCATGCAGTGGCAGCACGCGGAACCCATGTGAGGTGGGGTCGTGTATCAACGATGAAAAGGGCTCTTACACCTGTGTGTGCCCGCCCACACACTATCTGGACTACACAGTCGATGGCTTCCAGACCTGCTCCAGAGGTTAGTTTGATCAGATTGTGTCATTTTTGCAAAGGTAAGGCGAATCACATAAGTCACATTGCTTCAGCAATAAAAGCATGCTTTGTTCTCTTCTTCCTGCCACCCACACTTTCTACCCTCCTCGTTCCCCCTGCCTTCCACCCTCTCTTCTTCCCGTGGGCAGATTGGGAGATTGCGTCCAAGCTGCTGGTGAATGGCAACAACTGGAAGTGTGCTGACGTGCACTCCCTCTTCAACCTTACAATCGAGGAATTTATTAGAAACAACAAGGTGAAGCTTCACCCTTCTATTTCTTTTCTGCCTCCGTTGTACTTATCACAATTCTGTGCTTTTTGTACATTGACTCTGACTCTTAATTTTTGCTGCTTACAAAAAATCACTATTCTACTATTTCAGTCAGTCGGAGGTAAATCACTATTCACTGGTCACCTCCCTACTTCTACTAGTTATTTCAGGCATTCCAACAAATCACGTTTCCATTTGTTCTTACGTATGGAAAGGAAGCAAGACACTTTTAGGATAGGACCGCATGAATCTCAGATTACCTTTGACAAGTACAGAATCGTTAATGTTTCAATTAGGAGGGTGTGGTTGGCTGCTGTATCACTTGCAGGGTATTATCTGCTCGAAGCCCCTTCAGGAGAAAACATTGCTCAACATGACAAAAGAAAACATGACTCCATGCTCTGCTTTCTACTACACTCTGCCAGTGAGTGCCGCTGCTTGACTCAAGACTGTACGTCGCTGCTTGACTCACGACTGTACGCTGCTGCTTGACTCGTCTGCTCCACTGTTGCTTGACCAGTGACTGCTCTGTTACTCTTGACCCTCTAATATCCACCAGGGGGACACCTGCTCCATAGTCGAAACGTTCCTCAATATCAAGAAAGGCTCGCTGGCGAGGCTCAACCCAAACATCACCTGCTCGTCTCTCAGCGCATCCCGCTCCCTTTGCATCGATAACAGCGTTACAAATTCACTCCCTGTACCCAGCTGTCTCAAGACAGCGTCTATACGAGACAAGGAGGGCTGCAAGTCTTTGGTGAATAATCCTTCAAACAAAATCTCCATGGTGGAGCTCTACCGAATGAACCCGGGGCTCGTTTGCAACTCTCCTGTCAAGATTCTGAGTGACGGTGCGAGTGGAAGTGTGCAAGTGCCGGTGAGAACATGGATGGATGAGATCGGGTGCATGATGTTTGGAAATATTAAGGCATGTTTTGCAGGGAATGGTGCTGATGCTGGTTTGGCCGGGGTCTGGTTTGGTGGGTGGGGCTGTGATGTAAGCGGTCTCAAATTTTTGTGCCCAAATCTTTATACTTTGACCGTGGCTGCAGGTTTGTGTAAGAGCGGAATATCTGGGATTTTCAGCTGGTCAATGCATCGACGGCGCAAAAGTCCAGTACTTCGCTGCCCGCTCCTCATGCAACGTCGTCTATTCCAGAGCATTTGGTGGCAGTAAGACAAAGTTCGAGAAATATAACCGTAATTGTGCAGACAACATAGGTGGGAGGCAAGGTCAGATGGTACCTGTATGTGTGCCCAAAGTCAAACAGAGAGTTAGTTAGCTGTGTTACCGTAATAGTTGTATTATGTTGGAAATACGAATACTGTAAAACATATACCTACGCAGTTCGGTTTTAGTGTATTTTTGGCTTGTAACGCTGATTCGAAACCACTGTATCGAACCGATCCCTGTTGGTGAAATTGCATGGATTCTTGGGATTTGCCGAAAATTTCGCGAAAAAAAATCTGCCGTCAGTGTCAATCACAAGAATAAGGAATATTCACTCTACCTGGCGTCGCATTGGCCTTTGACGTGCTGTCGCGGAAATCTGCCAATCTGTCAATGGATTGTGCAGCTGCTTTTAATTACATGGGGCAACCAATCACGTGCCCCGCACAGGCAAGATTCCACAGCATCACGGTTGTCAACTTTGTCACTTGTGGTACATGCCGTAAACAAGAGGCCCATTCAGTTTCTTGGATGGCTCAAAGGGGGTCATCCCATTCTTCATGCAGGGAACCACCTCGTGGTCCTCCCGTCTTCGTCTTCATCCCGTTCTTCGTCTTCGTCTCGTCCCCATTCTTGCTAGGTCTGCCGTTAGCTAACTCGGCAGACTCCCCTCAGTTTGTGCTTTTGCTCTTGTCTCGCCACTGCCGCCGTGGCAGGACCCGTCGAGGGGATAGCCGACGATGACGACCCCGACGACATCGAAACAAAATTGCTCGTACTGGTTTAGACCTCCTTTTGTGCTCTCTATTGATAGCAGCACGCAGTCCGCCATGTATCAAGGCTAAATCCTTGTCCGCAACACCCATTCGTACCGTCACATCTGGACCTCCAGATACGTTAACCGACACTTTCATGGCGAGCACGGTGCCTGTCCTGATTCCACCGTCAAATCACTCCAACGCGTCCCCGGCTTCTCTCCCGATTCCACCGTCAACTCACCCTGATGAGTCTCCGGCGTCTCTCCCGGTTCCACCGTCAACTCACCGCCATGCGTCTCCGGCTTCTCTCCCAGTTCCACCTTCAACTCACCCTGACAAGTCACCACCTTCTCGCCCGATTCCACCGAAATACACCATTGGCGTCTCCTGCTTATCGCTTCAAGCAGTCGAAGCTCAACTGGAGACGTCAACCTTCTACGCCCTCAACGGTACATGCCGACGTCCCGCTGCCTCCCGTGCCCGGAGCTGCAGCCTCAAATGCGCCGACCGCAACTAACAAGGAACTCTACGCTGTTGCACTCGATCGTTGGCAAGATGCCTTCGCCTGGTTGCAACTAACGAAACATGTAGTGGTCTCCCTGCTTTATATGCTCAGTGTGCTCTGACTATACAGGAGAGTCGGGCAAGTGCGGTAGAGGCGGCACTAGAGCTGTCGACATTCAAAAGCAGGCCGCCAAACGACGTGCCACTACCACCAAGCACAAGCTCGCCATCCAGAGGCAGGATGCACTCGTTGGAGCGACGAGGCAGCCGCGGATTGACGAGCATCCGCTCGCGCATGACAGCGAGAAGACACGGGTCGTCGCTCTGCTGGATTCTCCCCTCTTTGTCAGCAGGCAAGCAACACCCATGGAGACTTGGGTGAATTTGGTTCGGTACCTGTCCGAGAAGGGGGTTGCCGACTTCCCGACAAAAGGATATGGGACTTACACTTCGTAAGTTATAGCTTTAAACATTTTCACTCGTGTATTTTTTTCCTGACTTGTCTAACCTACCTTTGATTGTTCAAACTTCAGGTACGGCTTTGGCGAGGTGACCTGGCTGCAGATAACACAGCTCGAGCATATTCTCGCCGGTCCGTACATTGGTATATCATGTGACGAGAGCACCGACCGCTGCAGAGGTAAACACATGATTCTCTTCGCCATGTTCATCCGCGATTCACGTCTTGTAACCGAGTTCATGGCAGTGTTGACGGTCGACAAGACAGATGCAGCGTCGCTGTTGGGGTTGCTGTTGTCCCACTTGGAGTCGGTTGGCGTGGACCTTCGGCGCATCACGGGCATCAGCACAGACGGGGCTTCTGTGATGATGGTTCCGAAGTCGGACTTGGTGGCATGGCTGCGTCTTCGCATTCCCCATCTCGTATCTTGTCATTGCATTGCCTACCGGTAACGGGTTATCGCTTTTGCCTACGTGCTTTTTTTAATGGTGACTTATTTAATGCTATATAATTTAATGTGTTCTTGCATGTGGTTGCAGTGAGGCCCTTGCAGCAAAGGACGAAGCAGAGAGCCTGTCTGTCTTCGACATGATCAATAGCACCATCCGTGCTATCTCATAGCATCTGGGCAGATCCGGTCCATGGCATCAGCGCGTCATGGACCTTCGGGAGGTTTTTCACCGAAACCTTTCTGGAACTGCAGGTCATACACAACATCCGATGGCTATCACGTGGTGATGCCATTGCCAGGTTTTTGGCAGTTTTGCCTGCAGTCATCACAATGATGAAGGAGTGGAATCCCCAGCTTTACGCTGTGGTCAAAAGTTACAGGTTTTAATTTCTCCTCCTCTTCCTTTCTGACGTGCTTGATCAGATGAACGTCTTGAGCAGGACGTTCCAGCAACGAGAGGTATGTTTTTCGTTTACAAGTCCCGCTCCCCCCTTGAACATTGATGCGACCATGTACCTTGTCTTTCTTCCAATGATAACCATTTTTTCCCTTGCCTGTGCCTTTCTTCCACCCCAGCTTGATATGTCTGCTGTTCATGCACAGATTTGACACACAACAAGCCATATGGAGGCCCGTTACGTCGACCGCGGGGATGAGTTTGGAGGTGGGCTCAGTACACGGCTTTCACCATGGCTTGACAAGCATGGTCCGGATGGCACTCGGGATGTCTGCATCGAGGGCGTCAACTCTGATGGACGTCGACGACCTTCACATTCACACAGCACGAAGATCGTCTGGATGGCTATCCTGGACCCGGGCATTACGACGCATGCCTCGATAGTACCGAGTTCGCTAAGCTCATCGTCGTCAACCTTCTAGCTAGGTTGGGGGACTTAGACAAGCTGTCGGGTGTGTGGTTGTTCACTCCCGACAGCTGGCCTCATGGCAGACATGAGCGGCATACAAACTGTGTAGAGTGGCTGCTGTCGCTGGTTACTTTGTTCCGAGCTGATGAGTCTGACAAAATCCTACCTGGTGAGACTGCTCGAGGCTTAGCATCTAGGGAATCCAGTGTGTATTTCAGATTGTATACATGTTCTATGCGTGTATGATCTGATTGCAGGGATTAACAAGAAGAAGGCAGTGAAGGAGCTGCGAATGTTCTGTCCCGTCACTGCAGCTGCACCGAAGAGTGAGTGTGGATTCCACACAGGTCTGTCCACCAACTTGAAGACCAAGGACTGGTAGGAGCACTACCCAAACCTGGTGTGGCTATGGGTGTCAGTGGCAGTCCTTCTGCTGAGTACTGCTGAGTGCGAGCAAGGTTTCTTGCGCCAGAACATCATCAATTCCTGGTAGCGAGGCAGCCTGAGGGATGCACAGCTCAGTAACCTGATGTGCATGTTGCTGCTTAAGTACGAGCTCAATTGGGACGAGATCGTTGAGATCTGACGCAACTACAAGAAAAGGAAGCCCTTCAACAACAGCATCATTGACAGGCAGGACGAGCGCAGGGGGAGAGGGAAGGAGCTAGAGGCTGGAGACCAGGCCAACCCAGTAGACTTAGATGTAGATGCTGTGTCAGATGACGAAATGTGGTAGTTTGATGTTGGCAAACCTATTATCAATATTATTTGTCCATTGGCTCCCTCTCCTCCCTCCCTCCCCCGCCCAAATCCACCAAACCAGTACACCCAAACCAACCCAAACCAACTCTATATACACCTTTACTGTGCTCTTGTTAAATCAACCAAAAGAAATTGTACCAACACTGAACAATTTTATTTTATTTTGACACCAACATTGATTTTCCAACGTTTTTGTTTTTTTATAAGCGACCCTGATGAATTTGTTTTAACCAATACCAACACTGATAAAAAAGCGTGGCCCAAAGGTAAGCTGAGGGCCTACTCCAGGTCCCACAATAATTGTCACAATTATTGTAGGGCCAGAAGTATTGGAGTCTAGAATAATTGGGGTAGAATTATTGCTACTCGCTTACTGGAGTTGGCATTATTAGCGGACAATTATTGGTGTGGATGGGGCCATCCTGGGAAGGGTAGATGGATGCATAAATACCCTGCAGTGTCACTTCTTCATCATTCAGTGATCAATCTATTTCAAATGCAAGTTTTCCATCTTGTTATTTTCTACAAACATGTTTCCGCTACGCTGGCACTATGCCTTTCTAGCATTGTATCAGAGCTACTCTACAGGGCATGCTGCCAAATTTGGTCCATAAACTTGTTGACAGTCACTGATAGGTACATGCATACACTCAGAGTACCGCTCACCTGGTTTACGTTTTCGTACACTTGGTGTTCACTTCCGTAGTACACTTGCGCTTTATCACACACCTGGTATACGGTTTGATCAAGATTATGGGGCAGTTCGATGGCGAACTGGATGCTGGATATGCGTCTTTTGAAGAAGCCATCTTTGCTCAGCATGAGCACCTAGAAAACATGATCGTAAAGGCACCACCAGCACTTCAGGCATTAGTACGAGTCAAGTTCAACGTGCTAACGACAACACACTCTCACGTGTTCAGCAATCCGCCCACTCGTATACAATCTCATTCAAGCACTCCACGTACTAACCAAACCCATGTTCCCAATATCATTGCAGGAATTGATGGTGAAGGGGAAATTAGCATACCCCATGGAGGAGAGTCATCCCAAGAAGAAGGGAGCTCCAATCCCGCACCTCAATCATGCATGCAAAGGGAAGCACGGGGGACTAATGATGAGTATGGGATTGAAATGCACGCAATAGAGCATGGTAGAATGAGAAGTGGACAATTTGGGCAATAGAGTGACGGAATTGGTCAAGTGGGCATGGAACGTATGGGATTTGCCTCCAACGTTATTGGTGCTCCCCCATTACGATGACTTACGAGTAACTCTTATCCCATTGGAGTTCCTCCCATGCCCAGGTCTCATCTTCATGGCAGAAATATCATACATCCGCGTCCATTGATTGGAGTACATTCCGTGGAAAGCATGGGGCGGATGGGACACGGAATGCAGTCAAGTGGTGTCATGCGCAGAAATCAAGTGGAAGTGTTGGAAAGCCAACGGGGTGGACAGAATGGAGACACGCAACGCACGGTACAGCTACCTCGACCATCAACCGTGCCTACTCTCTTTGACCCCGCTCCACGTGAATATACGGAAGAAGAAAAGGAACGACTGTCACGCAAAATGGTGGGAGTAACGGTGGACAATGCGTTCACCATCACTCCGTTTGACCGCTCCAATTTCCGCGAGTGGGTACTACGGTTTCGTTATAAACGTTTGAGTCACAAATGTGTGGGAGTTCTTTGTGACGCTACAGTACCCCATTACCATGGTAAATGGCAACATTCACGACGCCATGGAGCAGCTGGAAATGCTACACGCGGATTACTCACAACGCGCAACACTCGCTATTTGGGCCCCACTGCACAGTGTGAGCGTTACAATTTAGCTGCAGCTGGACATGTTCCAGGAATCCTACTGCTCGGCATTTGAAGCATGGGTGTACTTAATGGACACATACCAGGCCAAAGATTCGTTGTCAAATTTTTCACTTCTGAAGCAGTTAGACAATCTAAAAACGGGGAACCATGAAAGGGTGGAGGAATACGTCAACCGCGCAACGGCAATCCGGGACAAGTTAGCACTTGCGGGGAAAATGGTGGATGTAGATACCTTCACCATGAATCTGCTCACCAGACTGCCAGCGCACTGGGAGGATCTGAGGGATTCAGCAATGTTCCACGATGTGGCGGACAACTTTACTCTGCAGCGGATGATAATTCAGGAGCAGAGATATCAATAGCTCATTACCAAGGCAAACCGTGACTGGCATCCACCTCGCATAGCAAGACAAGCGCGTGGAGACCACTCAACTTCTCCAACTGCTAAGGGAAGCACCGAGAACAAGGAGGAGCTGAATTCGGCAAGGTCACCAAAAGTACAGCATGTGTCCGTTGGGGAGAAAATGCAAGCCAAGAATGGAGGTGCGGGACGTTCAACACTTGTGTGTTGGTACTGCAAGGAGCCAGGCCATCCCTTCTACAAGTGTACCAAAGCACCTCCAGGTTGGTCACCACCAGGGTGGGAACCGCCTACCCACGGTAGAACAAACCAACGCAACAACAAGAACCGTCTAATCTCTCCACAAAGGAGTGGCAGCCCCAAAGCATGACAACAATGCGTCAAAACAGCAAGGGGCAGCCGGGGGAGACTACAAACACACCGTTACCTGCATTGCAACGGCGCGATCGCCACAAGAAACCTTACCCTCGTCTAGAGGGTCCTTTTGGTTGCTGGACAGCGGATGCAGCCAACACATGACTTCGGACAAGTGCTGGTTTGAAGAGTTAAAAGAGTTGGACGAGTGGAGCTTGCCGATGGGAGCTATCTAAGCAGCACAATGATGGGAACGATCAGAGCAACGGCACCTGATGGGACAACAGTTCACTATACTGAAGTTCTCTACGTACCTGGCTTGAAGAACAACCTGCTCTCCTATTGTCAGATGCTGAAAAAGGGGGCTCACATCAACACCACTGGTTATGGAGACACCAAAACCACCATGCCTAATGGAGATGAGTGTGTGCGGATTGGACTTGGCAAGAACGTGCACGGGTGCTCATGGTGCAATATGAGTCTGCACTTACATCCGCCCAGGCTCCTGGTCATTCCCGTGATGATGCATCATCAAATGAGCATGGCCGTGAAGGGGGTACACTTTTGTGCACACCTAGAGTGCATATGGATACTCAGAGGAGCACACTTCTCTGCACACCTGGAGTGCACTTGAGTGCTCGTTCCGCACATGCATCCATTCCATACCGCATGGCACACAAAGCTTGGAACGTGTAGGACCCGGCACGTAATGTTGACACGGAAATTCACTCACCGCGGTCCTTTGATGACATGCTGCTGGACGCTGGATTTTTGCTTAAAGTCCAGCATCACGCCGATGGATTCTCACCCCACATTCTGGTGTGGACTTCAGGGGGAGAAGGAAAAGGTCCGCAGTGGATTTGGTTCCTACATCCTCAACCACTGAAGGTCATGGAGGCGAAGGAGCAGACTCTACAAAACAAGACTTACCTGGAGCTGACGCAGCTGATGAAGCCAGTGCAGCCAAAGGAAGCAGAGGTGCAACTGATGACTTACCTGCGACAGGTGTCTCCATTCTGGAAGGCGTTGAAGACAATGATGTGGGAGATGATACAAGTCACATTTGTGACTTTGCCTACCTACATAAGGGAATTCCGCTGGTTGATCAAGGTGCAGACAGAATGACATAACTGAATGTGTTGTTTGGGAAACGGCAAGTGGACAAGCCAAGCGGGCAGCATCACACCCGCAGTCTGCTAAATGGTCTTCAACCGATTCCCCCTGGTGTACCATCGGCAGCCAGTCATCAAGTCAAGGGTGCTGCCGCTGTACTCACCTGTGCGGCCTCCTCAAGCTATGCTGCACAACATGTCAACACCTAAATCCACTCACTCATGTGCTTGTAGTTGTGTACATGGTCACGTGCATGACTACAAGCACATGGGGGGGGGGATGGGGAGGGGGGGGGGGGGGGGGGGGGGGGGGGGGGGGGGAGGAGGGGGGGGGAGTGGAGTGGCACTGGAGTGGGACATCAAGTCACGAAGCATAAGGGGTAGATCTACTCACCTGCTCATGTGTTTCCAATAGGCAGTGGGAGCAGGCAGAAAGGATGCATCCGGTTGCCATCCCTCGTCCTCTGATGCAGCCGTATCGTGCGATTGGTTGCTGCTGATGAGCTGCACCACCCGAGGGAAGAGTGTTCACACACCATCATGTTTGAGTGGAGAGTACACATGGGAGTCTGCATACTTGAAGTGCACATCTCTGCATACTTGGAGTGGACATTTCTACATACATGGAGTGCACGTTTATGCATACTTGGAGTGCACATTTCTGCGGACTTGGAGTACACATTTCTGTATACTTGGAGTGCATATTTTTGCATACTTGAAGCGCACATGTGAATCCACCAACAGCACGCCATGCGTCATCCGCTGCAGATTCGCATCATCCGTAACTGCAGTCGTCGCAGACGCACGTCAACTGCAGTCGCCGCGCCGTACAGCAGCAGGCATGCGATATAGTCAGCAGCAGTGACAGTCGCAAGTCGTACAGTATACTGTCAGCAATTCTATGTGCGCTAAGGGCATTCCGCCATGGTTAAGAGAATATTTCGCCAAGGATACGCTACAATTTCCTCAGCAGCAGCCATTGCTCTCTGGATCTCGATCTAGAACGTCGATATTGGAAGGAGGGATTAAAAAACACAAGGGAAGGTGGTTTGGTTGGAGTTTGAAAGGACCAAAAGCTTGGGAAGAGGATACGTGCTACAGTGACAAACAACTTGACAAACACCAAACCCTACCTTGCTTTGGGAGCACCTCTGCCTCAAAGATGGTCAACCACCTCATCCACTCCATCCTCCAAACAATACCAAATTTGCTAAAACCCACAACAAGGGGGAGTGTTGGAAATACGAATATTGTAAAACAGATACTGTATACCTATGCTATTCGGTTTTAGTGTAGTCACCTTGATAAGCCTCCAGGTCCTACAATGATTTTCACAATTATTGTAGGGCTAGAATCATTGGAGTCTACAATCATTGGAGTAGAATTATTGCCACTCACTTATTGGAGTTGGCATTATTGGCGGGCAATTATTGGTGCACGGTGCACGGTGACGGCGCGCCAAAACAAGGAGTTTTCGGTTTCAGTGTAGACCCCGATGCAACACTGACTCGTCAGTGTCCTCAAACACAAAACACTGGAAAATCAGAGTTTGAAATAAAAAAAACACTGAAACATCAGAGTCGTAAAAAAAAAAAAGGCTGATGCATCAGGGTCATGATAAAAAACGGGGGTCAAACTTCAGGAATTCAGGGTAAAATTCCTGACTTCTGAGGGCCTGCACACCCCCTAGGCTAGGTAAGGGGCAGTGCCTAGTACTGCATTTTCCCGTGTATAGGACCGGGGGGAGTTTCCAAAAATTGATTAAAAATAGCTAGGGTGGACATCATGGAGAATGGAAATAGAAAAGACCCCCATGCATATATTTTACTCATAAGGAACCGTTTTTCTCTATACAGTAAGTTTTTTTCTACTAAAAACGAGCATCACAAAAAACCATTCGCGAAATTGCCTCGTCAAACCTTCGATCTGGTACGGTCAATGCGTCAGATTTCGAGTCTGACGCATTGACCAAGTCAGAATGCCAGCTCAAGACCCAAATGTTCAACTTTACTAAAGTTGGGCGTTGGGTGGTGAGGGAGTTGGACAGGAAAGTTGAGGTGTTGGGTGGGTTGAGGGCTTTGGTTTCGCTCAGCTTCTCGCCACACTCAATTTGTTTTTCGTTGACTCAGCGGACCCTAGGGGCGACCTAGCGTTGGTTGCGAGAGTCCCATATTGCACAGATATTAGTCTTGCAAGTTTCCCTCCCCACCCGCTTTATTAACACTGTTTCAATTTTACTGGCCAATCAGCTGCTTTTGTACAATTCGTAACCCCAATTCGCAAAAACAAAAACACATGCAAAACAACTCTCGATCAGCTTTACTAAAGTTGCCTAGCGCAATTCGCAATTCGGGCCTCGAGCTTTAATCAGCTATGATCTGACGTGCAAATGTGAAAAGGACTGCACAGTTCACACCAAAGAGGGGGGTCTTAAAATTGTTGATATAAAAAGGGGGGTCCTCACAAATTGGTCTTTAAAGCGTACCACCCCCTCCCCCCTTCCCCCCACCCTCCCCCCCCATATAAGACCCGTGGGACTCTTCAACCGGAGGGTCCTATATACGGGAGAATACGGTAAGTGAAATAGAATCCAGGGCGGAGCTATTAGTCCCACCACTGAGGCAAGAGGCAACAAGGCTAGTTAGCAAGAACAACAAAGTGTATAAGGTACAACTCAGGGTGGTACTACTAGCCCAGCCTCTGAGAATAAGGGCCACCAGGTCAGTCAATGAGTATAAATAAACAAGTGAGATTAAGGTCCTACAAAGTGAGGCCCGGCTAGGACAAGGCCAAGCTGAATGCAGAGCCGCTGATGATCACGAGCCTAGAGTGCTTTGGTGAAGATATCCACGGTTTTGGCCCCTGAGGCCAAGAATGCTACGTGTGCCTGGCCGCGCTGCTGCAGCACACGCAGCAGGAAGTACCGCAACTGGATGTGTTTCGCTCTGCCCTCCAATCTAGGCTCCTGGCATAGGAGGATCATGGCCCAGTTATCAGCAAATGGGACCAGGGCAGAGCTAGGCAGCTCACCTAAGTCAGTGAGCAAGAATGTTAGCCAGCAGAGCTCCTGAGCAGTCATAGCACCGGTCTAAACCTCTGCCTCATAGGTGGACTGTGCCACCGACGAAGAGCGAGTGGAACTCCACGAGACATCTCCGGCGCCAAGACTGAAGCAGTAGCCCTATGAGGACCTGAGAGTGTCGATGTCGTCTGCCCACGGTGTGCCAGTGTATTAAGTAAGTGCAACTGGATGTCGTCCTCCAAGCACGAGCCAAATGCCCGATGTACTCGCCAGATAGCGCACTACCCTCTTAGCAGCTGACATGTGCTCGAGTCGATGTCACCCAGTCGCAACAAAGCGAGCAAGGGTGCTGGGACGATATGCGGGGTTTGGGCGAGTGCAGGTCATCAAGTAGATTAGGCACCCCACCAGCTCAGCGCACGGACCAATGGGCTCAACTGACTCGTCAGGGGCAAGAGGCAAGAGTGTGTGGCCAGCAAGCAGAGGATTGGGTTGTGCAGAGGAGAACTCCAAGCTGAGGCGCTGAAGGATTTGCCGCACCATGTTTGACTGATCCGAGTGATGGTGCGCGCTACTTTGCCCCTGGTGATTTGCAGGCCAAGGACCAGGTCGTCAATGTAGACAAGAACGTAGAAAAGACACGAGCCAGAGTGAACGAACAGAGAAGGGTCGGCTAAGGACGGTAAAAAGCGGAGGTCAGCGAGAGTAGTGCGCAAAGTGTCGTGCCACACACGAGGAGCCTGACGCAGGCCGTAGACGGGCCGCCGAAGTCCACTGGTTCCCAGGAGGAAAGGACACAATGAAGCCATATGGGCGGCGGATCCATATCTGCTCGTGCAGGCTGCCCTTACTGATCTCCCCCCTTCCCTCCCCCCCCTTCCCCCCCCCCCCCCCCCCCCCCCCCCCCCCCCCCATGGTGCAGGTGAGGCCTGCTTGGTGGTGCAGTTTGGTGGGGCGTGGTGGGGCGATACGTGCCACGCTGAGGCATAGGGCATGGCGGTTAACTTGTAAGGCATAGGGCATTTGGCGGCGCATTGGTGTTTTCTTGAGCAGGTGAAACTGTAGGGGTGTTGTGTATGGCGTGCCAGCTGTGTGCATGGGCGTGGAGAGCATGAGCAGGAGCATCAATAACCGCCCCTCTCCTTCCCCCCCTTCCCTGCTGCAGGGATGGCAGGGCCCGACAGCAGCAGTGCAGGGGCACATGTTCATAGTATTAGTAGACTTTGCCTGCTGTGGTGGCATAGAACTAATTCTCCTCCCTCGCCCTTGCCCTGCCCCCCCTGCTGCAGGGATGGCAGGGCCCAACAGCAGCAGTGCAGGGCCACATGTTTATAGTTGACTCTGCCTTCCGTGGTTGCATATGCATTCCTCTGCTCCACTCGCGTCCCCTCTCCTCTTTGCTGCACGGATGGCAGGGCCCCACAGCATCGGTGCAGGGGCACATGTTTATAGTAGACTTTGGGGACGACCACAAGTTGAAGGCATGGGACCCACATACACATGCCTGGACGTGGGTTGGCAAGGTTCGGCTGCCAGCCATGTCCCACAAGCCATGGGCGGCACATCTTGTGTGCTTTCTGCACCACATTTGTCTTGTTCTGCCAGACAGGTCGCTAGTGATGGCCCCTCTGCCGCCCGTGCTGAGGTCGCTGGAGCGGCAGAGGAGGAGGAGGGCGAGAGAGGAGAGAGCGAGGGGAAGGGGAGACGAAGGGGGGGAAGGCACGAGTGTATGGGGGGATGTGTGGAGGAGAGTGGGGATGCGTTGTTTGAAGGGGCAAGAAGGAATGACGTGGAGAGTGGAAGGAGTGAGGAGTGAGGAGGAGGAGGAGGAGGAGGAGGAGGAGGAGGAGGAGGAGGAGGAGGAGGAGGAGGAGGAGGAGGAGGAGGGGGATGCCGAGGAGCTAATACAGGTGAAGGTGATACTTGGGCCGGGAGGGGGGGACAAGGGGTCGGAGCTTGTGCTAACAAACGCGGTGCTGGGCTGCCAGGTGCTCTCCACGTGAATGACATAATCTGCCCCAAGTGCTATACGCATTTGTTCCAATGTACCCATTCTTATCACATGAAACACTCTAGGGTGTTCTTACCGGGAAATACGGTAACACAGCTAACCAGCTATCTACTTGGGCACACATACAGGTACCATTTGCCCTGGCCTCCCACCGATGTTGTCTGAACATTTATTGTTATATTTCTCTAACTTTTCCTGACTGCTGCCAAATCCTCGGGAATAGACAACGAGGCACGAGGAGCGGGCGGCGAAGTACTTGACTACTGCCTTGTCGCCGCATCTACCAGCTGAATATTCCAGAAATTCCGCTCTTACACAAACCTGCAGCCACAGTCAAAGGGAAAAAGAGCATGATAAGTAGAGAGATATGGGCACCAGATTTTGCAGCCGCTCACAACACCATAGCCCCACCCACCAACCCAGACCCCGGCCACATCAGCATCAGCACCATTCCCTGCAAACATAATGCACCCCATCCACCCATGTTCTTACCGGCACTTGCACACTTCCACTCGCATCGTTACCCAGAGTCTTAACAGGAGCGTTGCAAACGAGCCCCGGGTTCATTTGGTAGAGCTCCACCATGGAGATTTTATTCGAATTCACCAAAGACGTGCAGCCCTCCTTGTCTCGTATAGACGAAGCCTTGAGACAACTGGGTACAGTGCCTGCATTTGTAGCGTTGCGCTCGATGCAAAGGGAGCGGGATGTGCTGAGAGACGAGCAGCTGATGTTTGGGTTGAGCCTCTGCAGCGAGCCTTCCTTGATATCGAGGAAAGTTTCGATTGTGGAGCACTTGTCCCCCTGGTGGATAAGGCAGGGTCAAGAGCAGCAGAGCAGCCATTGGTCAAGAAACACCATACAGTCGTGAACCAAGCAGCAGCATACATTCGTGAGTTAAGCAGCAGCACTCACTGGCAGAGTGTAGTAGAAAGCAGAGCAGGGAGTCACGCCTCCCTTTGTCATGTTGAGCTCTTTATTCTTCTCAAGAGGCTTCGAGCAGTTAACACCCTGCAATTGATACAGCAGCCAAGCACACTCTCCAAATCGAAGCGTTAACAATTCAATACTTGTGAAAGGTGATCTGCAATTCATGCAGTCGTATCCATAGTGCTAATAGTGTTTTGATCCCTTTTGGTGAGGTGAGAGGCAGCAGAAAATCAGAGCAAGAGCAGACCACAGAAAGCACGGCATTGTGGTAAGTGAGGGTGGATGCAGAAATAGGCAGGTGAAGGCTGAAGCTACACCTTGTTATTGCTTATAAACTCCTCAATGGTGAGTCCGAAGAGGGGGTGCACATCGGCACACTGCCAGTTGCTGCCATTCACCACCAGCTTGGAGGAATTGCCCCAATCTGCACACGGAAAGAAGGGAGGACGGACGACAGGGAGCGAGGAGGGCAGAAAGTGTGGATGGCAGGAGAGAACACAGCATTCCTAGGTTGCCGAAGCTGTGTTACATTTAATTCGCCATACCCTTACAGAAATGACACGATTGAATGAAACTACCTTTGGAGCAGGTGGGGAAGCCATCAACGGTGGAGTCCAGATAGTGTGTGGGCGGGCAGACACAGGTGTACGAGCCCTTTTCATCGTTGATACACGACCCCACCTCGCATGGGTTCCGCGTGCTGCCACTGCACGCATCCACTGTCAAATACGAGCGGCGGGGCACACAGACCGGTGGGCATTCAGTAGCAGAAAGGAAGAACGAAGGAGAAATTGAATATCACATGTGTTGCACCAAACCACACTCACTGAGAGCGCACTGCATGGAACTCCAGGTAAATATACTACAGAAAACTTTGGGCTGGTAATTTGACTATGTGACGCCCATTATCGGATGTCATTGAATGTACAAGTCATAGCCTTATCTCCGTCCAAATGTTTTACCTAGGGAGCCGAAGAGAATGTAAACTTAACAGCTGATCCTTCAAACGATGAGCGAGAGGCACCCACCATAAGCACAGGAGCTAGAGCCGTCGTCGTTGTCTGCCTTAACAAAGGGAGACGTGCAGGTACAATTGTTGAGAGATTCGCCTTTCGTGGGGAGGGAGCACTTGAAGGAGCCACAAGGGTTCATGACGGAGAATTTATCATCCTTGAGCTTGTACGCATTGACCATGCAAGGGTCACCGGTATCTGATCCAAGGGTCGGGACGGGTGAGAGGAGGGAGTGACCGCTGAGTGAGAAGTCACCAGCAGCAGGCAGCAGGTGCCATTCTCATGCATTGGCGCAAATGCAAAATGACAAGGACCGGCAGACACCACTACCCATGATGACAAGGTGCTGCGGGCATAAGATTGCAGAACGAAAATGCCAGGCTGTTTGAAAAGAATGTATGCCAAAGTGACTGAAACTTGACCAGAGCACTGAGGTTGTGTCATCCAATTTGACACTCCTCAAAGCATCAAGGGCTCACTTCGGATGACAGGGTAGATGCCGGGAAGCACATTGATGCCGCAGATGCCATCTCCCGCTTTTATCTCCATGTACATGTATCCATCCGCCCCCCACTGCGTGCCCCATGAGTTGCGGATCTTCCAGAACGGTGCGGAGATTCTCGGGCGGCTTGTGTCAGTGCCTTCAGTGAGGTAGCCTGTAACGAGTACAACGCGGTCGAGGTTGCCTGTGTAACAATCACTATCGTGGTAGTTGAATGTCTGGATGCACCAGCAGGGAACAGAGGGCATGGAGGGCAGAGAGGGCACGGAGAGGGACGAGGTGAAAATCACCCAGCAAAGACCACAAGGCATGGTTGACACACGGCAGAACGCAAGGCATGGGGACGGGCCTAATAACCCAGTTAACCTCTCAATGTGAATTCAATAACGCCCGCGATTCTTGAGTAATACGACCGTTAAAACGCGTGGTAGTGAGTATTTATGGCATGCTATATATTGTGGCCTCAATCGGACCACAGTAGCAACTGACCAATTTGTCAGCCTTCATCCATATCTCTTCTATAAAAATCAGATCATACCCCATAGTAGGTGATACAAACGAATTCACTTCATGCATACTCCATCGTAAGACATGCCGTGCAAATCAGTCCAAACCCCATAGCAAGAGATGGAAACAAATTCACTTCATGCATACCCCATCGTAAGTCATGCCGTGCAAATCAGTGCATACCCCATAGCAGGAGATGGACACGAATTAACTTCATGCATACCCCATCGTAGGAGATGAAGGAGGCGGCGTTGGCCTGGATGTGCACCACAACGGGCTGGCGCCACACTGCCAGCATGAGCCCAAAGTAGCCCTTGAATGCCGTCCTCTCAAACCCATGCACCGGAAATTTCACCTGCAGGCACATGCCCCATGCACGTGCGTCGTGCGCATCCACATGCACATGCATTATGAGCGCATATTGTTGGCTAGTTGACCCTCAACATGTGAACAGACATGGCATCACTTCAGACGTTTTTTAGTAATTCCTTATGCTCTTTTCTTCTGCCAATGGCCATTATATCGAGACGCCAGGGTTGGAGCCATTTGGTAATGAGCAGATAGAGGTAAAAGGGAAAGCGTGCATACCGGTTGTGGTGGTGGAGATGCGGTGGGAGTAATAGTTTTAAGAGAAGAAGGGTGATGTGCTACTGGAGGTGAGGCCAGGAATAAATATGAGTAGAGTGTGGCAAAGAAAGGGGAGAGAGATGATGGAGAGGAGGAGGAGGAGGAGGAGGAGGAGGAGGAGGAGGAGGAGGAGGAGGAGGAGGAGGAGGAGGAGGAGGAGGAAAATATGGACGAAAAGGAGGAACGGGAAGTGACACGCGAAGTGGTGGTGGTAGGGCTGGTTGGCTCTGCAGTGAGGCCGTCCTTGTTCAAAGTGGCCTTGTCAACGAGCTTTTGAAATGCAATGGTGGGAGAGCTGCTGCTGCATCTAGCAACCCCCATGAGGGCGTAGAGGGATTCGATGGAGAGCGATGGGAATGACGTCAGGTTATTTCTCGCGATGCCGTACGCCGCTTCTATGCTCGCCACCACCGCATACGCCCAGCAGTCCCCTGCAGCACGTGTGGAGAGGGAGAGCGTTGCAGACAAGAGCCGAGGGCAAGGACACGTACCAGCATGAGGCTTGCAGGCTCTGGGAAAAAATCACAGAGCCTTGAAGAGCAAATGTGCAGAGGCAAAATGGGAGGAAGCCACAATCTACTAAGTCCAGAGGGCAGCAGGAGGAGTGACACACATTGGCAGGGAGGTGCGGATGCTGCACGCTCTCAGCCTGCCATGTGGATAGCACTGCAGCCACACTGCAACACCTGCCTCACTGCATGAGCCTTTCGAGTCAACTCAAAGGTCATCCGGGCTCACCACATGAGCCTTGGTCCTTGGGCAGCCAGTTTGAGTCAATGGTCCAAGTGGTGTAGGTGGGTGTTCGCCACGAGTCCTGGTCGTCCTGTGCCTTGCTGTACCCCACGCTCACATAGCGCGTGAACGGGCTTGTCGTGCGCGGTTTGAACGTATCTAAGTCCACGAGCAGTTTCGTCTCTGCATGCAGAGGGTATCAGCAAGGGGCATGGGAGTAAGGATTGAACAATGCAGAACGAAGGTACTATCAGGCTTGCTATGTTACATCTTGCTTTCAGCATGCATAGTTTTCTGTGTTGGGTGTTGCACTTACTGCTGCCGGCTGCAAGCAACGTTGTGATGGCGCTTGATACACCCGTAAGATTCACATGCGTGCAAGCGTAAGCGGATCATTTCCTCGTAAGTCACTCACAGGTGCAATACCTACGAGATGCTCTATCAAGGAACAAAAACGACGGCTGCATAAGAACGTACTTCTCTTAACTGGAAGCGGCGGAGGCAAGTTGTACCCTGCCAGGAAACAGAAGGCATGTATAAACAGTGAAGAGAAGAAGTTTAGGTCTAGCCTGGAAGTGGGTTACGGATTTCAAGTCGAGGTTCCTGACTTGTATGGTTCGAACTTTGCACAAACTGTGTTTGCAAAAGCAATCACATGTTGCACGTGCACGCATGCATAGTACTGCATACTTGATCACTGCAAATGTTTGGACGGTTCTGCCTTCCTAGCGGCGGCAGGCTTGCCTGTTATAACGGATGCCATGCCCACTGCATGCTTCTGCGCGTGAAGGCGTGACACGGCCACAAAGCCAAAGTAGAACGAGTTGGACGTGTTCGTGGGCTTCAGCACTTCACAGAGAGAGAGCTTCATGGTCAGCACAGGGTTGTCCGGGCGAGCACTGAATGAATCCGCGAGATACACCTTCAAGCTCTCTGCCTCGTCCTCAGGATTGTACTCCACCCATGCAAAGTGCATCTTTCCATCGTTCAGTGCAGTGGGGGTGTTGAACGTCCTTTCTTCCGAAAAGGGGCTGCCATTCAACATGACTCCCACGTGACTTGCGCTCGGGTCCTTGTGCCCCTTGTCCTGCCACGTGTCAAACTCCACTGCCATGCTGCGTCTGTCCATGCCGACAGTTCCCACGCCGCTGCCGATGTTGCTGGCGGTCTTGTTTGTCGCAGAAACGATAAACGCGAGCCCGTTGCCGCCGTTGCCACGAATCCTCGGAATCATGAAAAAGGAGAAGCTGGCATTGAAGGAGAACTGGCGGCCGCAGCCATCTCGGATAATCTCAAACAAGAAGAGCTTGAGGGACTTCTTGGAAAAGAAGGATCCGCGCGCCGGTGCTTTGAGCTCGGTGAGCGTGACCATGGTTGGAATCAGAGTGGTGGATTGAGGGTACCTCTTCGCTGCAAAGTCTCAGAGGAAACGCAGGAAATGTGGCAGGTTGAATTTGATTGTGAAGTCACAGAAGGATGCGATAAACATGGAGTCAGGATATGCTCACGGAGTTGGAATTGTCAGTAAATCTGGATCATGTGCCATTTGTCCGACACAGAATGCAACCATTTGACTCATGAGGCATTTGCCGAAATGCATTTGCTTTGATACTCTCCATTGGCGTGGACTGCTGTGGTTGTTGTTGGCACAGGCAACAATGGCAACATGTGAAGGTGATCTGTGAAAGGTGGCATGCGAAATTGTTCACCTTGAAGAATGCAGGTGGCTGGAGATTCTCCTTGGACGTACCCCTCCTCACAAACACAAACAGGCCTTTCAGTAAAATTTTCAAGAATGCAGGTGCCATTCCCCCCACAGGGAGGGCTTTTGCTGGAAATCCCACAGACTGGAGTGCATTCGCTCATCGGTCGTTGGCGGATATTGGAGCAATTGGATGAGTTGTTGAAAGTGAAGCAGTTGCCTTCAAAAAGACCCTTGTTGCAAGACGTGGAATTGAAGGAAGAAACGGAAAGGTAGTTGTTGTACGCAGTGAGAGTGACGGTCGGTGGCGGCACCACCAGGGCTCCACTGAGCATATTGTTATGCAACGATCTGTGAGTGTGTCGCAAGATAAGAGGGTGGATTTACAGGAAAATAATAATAATTCAATTTACATCAAGAGGGTTGAAATACACAAAACGACAACACTAATTTAGAGGCAATATTGACCGAGCATGTGACGAGAACGTTAGGATGCCAAGGATTCACTCTGTTCAGAAGCGTGACTCTTTGTGGCTCTGGCAAACAGAGGGTCCTCTGAGAGTGGTGAGGGAGGGGGGACCTTGGAATTCTGATGCTTACACATATCTGAGAGACTTCATTAGCAGTATTGAAGATGGTATGCTTCCCGAGAAACGGTTGTAGCCTAGATCCCTGCTTTGTCATTCATACACAAGGCCATGCATGCATTCAGCGGCATGCATGTAATAATTAGCATGCATGCGTTCATCGAAACATATATATTCATTGAGATATATACGTTCATTGGAACAGAAACATTCATTGAAATAGATACATTCATCGGAATAGATACATTAATTGAAATAGATACATTCGTTGAGATAGATACACTCGTTGAGATAGATACATTCATAGGAATAGATACATTCATAGGAATATTTACATTCATAGGAATATACACATTCATAGGAATATTTACATTCATTGAAATAGATACATTCATTGGAATAGATACATTAATTGAAATAAATACATTCGTTGAAATAGATACATTCGTTGAGATAGATACATTCATAGGAATAGATACATTCATAGGAATCTTTACATTCATTGGAATAGATGCGTTCATTGGTGTAGATGCGTTCATTGGTGTACACGCATTTATTGGTGTGCATGCGTTCATTGGTGTACATACGTTCATTGGTGTACATGTGTTTGTTGATATGCATGTGTTCCTTGTTGGTATGCATACTTCATTTGGTACGCATGCGTGGTATACGTGCGTTCGTTATAATCCATGTGTTACAGTAGTATACATGTGTTTATTTGTATGCATACCTTAATGTGTACTGGTGTGCACACGTTCATTCGTATGCATGCGCTCATCGGTATACATACTTCATTAATACACATGTGTTCGTTAGTATTCATGTGTTCATTGGTATACATGTGCGTTCATTGGTGTTCACGCGTTCAATAGTATACATGTGTTCACTTTCCTTCATGTCTTGATTAGTATGCGGACATTGATTGGTGTGCATGCGTTCATTGGTATAAATGCGTTTGTTGGTATGCATGCTTCTATTGCTATGCACGAGAATGCGAATTTGAGCTATGTAGTACCCTCTACCAAGTGAGTGCGAATGCATTAGTATACCCCACATTGCAGGATAAAACGCTTTTAAAGGAACCGCTCAACAATGAAACAGGTCATTAAGGTAATGAGACCATGATGAACAGAATACATCACATGACCGCACAATGAAGAAAGGGTCGGACTCACAGATTTTTAAGGCTTTTAAAAGACCCCAGATACGAGGGCACCTCTCCAGAAAAACGATTTCGCTGCAAGGACCTGCAGATTGGTCACGGGGACATGGGGGTTATGTGCTGTTTGAGGGACTTGCTAACACTACAAAAAATGTTTCTACCAAGTTTCCTACCTGCTTGTCTCCAAACCTCTCATATTGTTTCATACAAATAAACGATTTATTCTCTTTACTACATAATCAGAGCATTTGTCTAAGCCTCCAAGACTGTAAATGATGATCACCAGAACCTGAGAGCGTTGTAATCATTGCCTTTGAAATCCTTGACAGCAGGCAATGCCGTACGGCGGCCACACCGTGCAGGTGCAGCCACAGAAGCCTTAAGGTGGACTGACTAAAAGCTCACTTTTCTGAGTGCCCATGCTATGTTGGTCTGGCATGGGTGGACTTACAGAGTAATAAGATTTGTTAGACTTGACATGCACTCAGGAATGGGCCCGTCGAAGATGTTTCCTCCCAGCATTCTGCCATACAGAGACAAGGCAAAAAAAAAAGAGCCTGCCAATGTTCTGTTCGCAACACCCAGAGCATTGCAAAGCACCTTCAGAGCTATACCAGGCGAAAGCATAAAAAAGTGGAGAAATATTTCAGGATGGACGGCAGGTCCATGATGGGTGATTAGTAATTAGCTCTGGGTTGATGCAGTACACACGTGGAGGAGGGCTGAAAGAACAATGCATAAGTGGTAATTGTTTAAGAACCAGATTTATGCAATGCCAGGAGTAGGAAGGAAGAGATGGTGTTCAGCAGTCACAACCTCCCAGACATGGAAGAAGCGCACTCACAGGTAGGTCAGGCCCTTCATGCCACAAATCCATTGTGGGATCTGACCAGTGAACTCATTCGCACTGATGTTCCTGTAACATCAGCAGACGATGCACATGTCATAGGCAGTTAAGAAAACCTTGAAGGGATAAAGAATATCGAGTAAATATATATATATATATACATATATATATAAAGCTCACTAGTAGACTTTCTGTGATTCTTTGTGGCTACTGAATCCTACTCATGGAGGAAATTCCTTAGCAGCAATGCCTATGCACAATCGAAACAACATGAATGAAGCACACATTCCAAGTTCCAACCAGTGTTTTGATCGCCATCTTGCTGAGATTTTCTCCGAAGATCTTCCTGTACAAACCACGGCCCCTCATCCGCGTTCTCCTCTCCGACCCACTTCATACAACGTACAACACCTTCTTCCCTTAACCAGATTCACTCTTGATCCTTCCTAAAAAGCATTTGTAAAAATAGCGCTCACACAATAGCAAAGGCAAATCAGCAAGCGAGCCACAGCACTCACAACTCTTTCAATAGAGTCAATCCTGAAACGGCTCCTGGCAGGTTGTCTTTGAACAAATTACTCCGCAAACTCCTGTGACGAGTGCTCATAATAACACAAGGATGAGATATGCATGAGAAAAGGCTGGCCCTTGGCCGAATGGTGAAATGCAGATGGAGAGAATTCAGTAAAAGGCATTTTTATTTCAGAACGCATGGCAGAATACATATATAACTAATCTCGACCAAATTTCGAACCCAACCTTTAGTTGGGTGCCTGGCCTGGAGGTGGATAGGATGAAAGGAAGTACACACACGATCGGACTATTGTAACCATCTCAAAGAGGACGGCCGAGTGGCTCCGTTGAAAGGGAGGCAGGCAGGCTGACTTCAATTTGGCTCACAGTTATCACTAACTTGGTAAGAATGCATCAAACAACCGTCTACATTTGGCAGGACGAAAGCTGGATGTTTTGAAATCGGCCTGCGTGGTTTCAGGTTTCGGAATTTCGCGAACATAATTCCTCTCAGTTATATTATTTTTTCGCACAGGCGAATTGGTTTTGCCAACCCGGAGATCTGTCAGAGATGTATACTGTCTCTTTTAAGAGGCCACCCTGGACAGCTTCCCATGGTCCCTTACAATTTTACCAAGTTGGTCAGCCGTGTGACAGTCGATAGAAAGTTGCCACTGAGTCGGTTGTTGGAAAGGTCCCTACAACATGCAGTCCAAGTTCGCATAGGGGAATACAACAAGGTCAAGAACTTGACTGGAGGAGTGTTGTACGGTTACTCAGATGGATGTGGTGCATACACAGAGTAGTGCTGGCAGATGGGAGATTGTTAAAAGGATTTGACCATTGATATATTTTATGCTAGATTAGAGATTGTGTGCAAGTACAGTGCATAGATGGGTGTTGGCAGGTGGAGTGTGGTGCTGAGAGTTGTGGCCTCACAGTTCTGTCAGATGGATGACATTCCCAAGAAGTGTTGGTATGCTTCCTGAAACTGCAGCATCTTTTACTCGACTGTGCCAAACAGTGTCAGCATGGAGGGGCAAAGAGCGGCATTAGGATAGGAAGTAGGGGCAGTGGCAAGTAGGGGCATGTTTAGTGGCATGAAGGGGTAGTGGCATGCCAGAATACCAAAGGAAAGACACGGGCTATTGAGTGGACCAATGACTCGACCTGCCACGGCTTAAAAAAATAGGGGGCCGATGCATCACCTGATTCAGTTCGACCCATGCTGATTTCGATAAACCTGCCTTGTGTGCAGGGTTGACACTACTAGCTTTTCTGTTTTTTTAGCCACAACATACGTTCATATCTGAAAGTAACTTTACGTGTTTCAATATTGAGAGTCTCAAGCTCGAAATATCAATCGAGATTGAGTTGACTTCATTCTTGTGTTTTCCTGACTCGTGCCCATGTCGGATAGTCGAGGTGCGCGAAGCTGAAGGGAACAGATCTGTGCTCATTGTTGACTCAGTCCTGTTCTTTCTGCTGTGTGGATATTCACATGCATGATGCATCTGACCATCCAGCCTTGCCTCAACCATCAGACAGACAAAACAGCAACCAACACTGCCTTTCCGCCTAGCAATGAAGTTGCCAGCACTATTGTTCTCCTTACAGGCTGACAACCTGGTATTCGTTGTTGCAAGTGATGTTCGCCATGCCGTCACATCTTCCGTCTTCCCTCCATGTGCCATCCCCGTCATACCCTTGCCAGGTATCTTTTATTGCTTGTAATGCTTTCCCTGGGTGTCAGGCAGGAGGAGAGGAACAAAGAAACAGGCCAAATACTCTACTCAGCTCAATCGCTTCTAGTGCTTCCTATGTGTGTCAGACAAGATTGCATGATCTGAGGGAGCAACAGGCCAGTATGACGTCTGAGTCGCCAAAAACATTGTGGGAAACACGGCAGCATGACTTTGCATAGCACCCAGAAAGCGGCCATCCCTTGTCGAGCACGCCATCCCTTGGCAGAGACTTACACTCAGAATCCAAGAGAATGCCGTCGCACGCACTGAAAGTGCCTCCTATCTCAATGTTTCTCCTGCATGCACATGTGGCTTCGCCTGAATTCTCCCCTCCTTTCCAGAAGCAGTAGCCTCGTCCAGAACAGGGCAGGGTGACTGGAGGGGAGAGGTCGCAGAAGGCTGAGCAATCGGAGCGCTGGGTGCGGTTGAGAGCGCAGGGTAAGCTGAGATTAAGGAAGCAATTGCTTTGCAGCGAGAGTGCGAGTGAAGTTGAGGAGGAATTGCACATGGTGGTGGGGAGCGTGCCACCGTACAGGTAGTTGCTGCTCAGATTCCTGGCACATGGGAGAGAGAACACACGTGGAAAAGGTAACTATTGAGTCAACTCAATCATTACTGTTCAGATCCCTGGCGCATGGGAGAGGGAACACACGTGGAAAACACACACACACACACAGCACTCGCTCGAGTTGCGAGACATCTTGAGACACGGAAAATGCTCGGATGAGGATAGGCTGGCTGGACTATGAAAAGCCCACTTCGCCTGCTGCCATGATGCAAGGTAGCGCGCCTGTCTCTGTGAGCAGCCGCTGCTCATTAGACACTCCTTTGACAAGCCTTTGCAACCTGCTGAACTTGTCAGAAAAAGACAGGTGGGCTGCAGAGGCCATACTTCCATAAACTCAGTAGATACGTGTGTCTTAGGACAATGAGACGAACCCCAAGGTTCAGATGAGAGGAAAAGGACCTCGCTAGGTGAGAGCTTGAGTGATCTTTCCGAGTCTGCTTGAACGATAATTAAAACAGAAGCAAAGCCTTTCTGTGCAAGAAGCCGTTGCTCATTAGACACCATCTTACAGCTTGACAAGATTTTGCAAGTTGCTGAATCCACTTGGTATAATTCCCGAGAGCTGGTTGTGTGACATGTCCCTGCCAAAGAGAAGAATCCGCAAATGGTTAGACATCCTGAACGACAACATTACTCTACACAACCAGCTAGATAGTTTACAATCACTAGCAACTCATTTGCCATTCCACAAGCAGTCGATTGTGATTTCCCAGCCCTAGTGAATTACCCACAAGAATCACTTTGCCAGCCCAAACCCACAAGATCTGGAGGAGCTGCAGAAGGCTGAAGGAGTCAGGGATTGACCCTGCTATGGCGTTGTTCGAAAGATTGCTGCATTAAGGGCGGAATACGGGGAAGAGGGTGGAGGGGGTTGGAGAGAGGGGGTGGGAATGTGGCAGGGAGGAGGGTAGAGGGTTAGTGGGGGAAAAAAAACGGTGGAAAGAAACATGAGGAAAGAAACACTGTTCATATTGTAGATAAGAAGCTGATGACCCCACATGTGTGCATCTACATGCATGCACGTCATAAGTACCTGCACTGCAAACACACACACACACACACCAGCAAAAGCTGTAGTTTTGCACAAGACTGTGCTTACGTAAAAACCGTGTCCTTGCAAAGCCTGTGCAGTTCCTACATATGATTGCTTAGGGAATAAGTGATGTGACCTAAGATTGTACCTAGATGCAACAGCTCAGAGCAATGCGACATGTCTATTGAGGTGATGTGGGATGCAATTTAACGAGACGTTGAATGCATCTTGAGGTGATTTGGCATGGCTTTCGAGGTGATGTGACTTGCCTTTCAGCCTACAACAGTGTTCAACAACTCACAGAGACGTGAGGTTCACCAGGGCTTGAATGGAATTGGGAATGATCCCTTCTATTCCTTGCTCAGAAAAATTCCTGCCCAAAGGGGGAGCGCGGATGAATGCAATGCTTGACAGCTGTGAGATGCATGTACATGTGGAAGCTTGAAATGAACCATGCGTGCGGTCGACAGGGTGATAATGCACCCTGGCAACAATGACCATGCAACCTAGCAAGGCCACAATGTGAAACGCCCTCCTTGACCATGCCACGACTTCACAATGGACATGCTGGATAACCCTTTGAAAGTGTTGCTCACAGGGCCACAATGTAGTTGTCAGCGTTGCACGTCACATGCTTCAGCCGCTCACACGGAGTGCTCTCATTCCACGTGCCTCCCCCATCGAAGCCACCCCAAGTCGTTTTCAGATCGTCCAGCACCACCCCTGCGAGCAGCCAACACCCAAAGGCACACCTTTCAGAAGGACGTGCAAACTGTATGCACCGCTCGCACTCGAAAAAAAATGTCGTGCTAAGAAATGGAGAAGCAAAAGAGCTGTGGACAATTAAGGCATACATTCCGATTTTGGCAATCGTGTCTTGCATGTGGCTGGATCCAACCCATTGCCATACTCCCCCCCACATGCACACGTGGCTGTGCGTGTGCCTGCCTCCTCCTTCCAGAAGCAGTATCCGTGGTCGGAACAGGGTGGGGTGGTGGGAGCGGGAGCTGAGAGGCCGCAGAAGGCAGAGCAATCTTCGGAGGGTCGCTGGGTGTAATTGCGGAGGGGGCAGGGGACGGCGTCAAAGGGGAAGCAGTTGTCCTGCAGGGAGAGTTTGAGTCTGCATGTTGTCTTGAAAAGGGTTCCCGAGTAGAGGTAGTTGTTGTGCAGAGACCTGCACCTCGTGAGCACAAGTCATGCACACGTGTAGTGAAGGGGGCAGGGCAAAGATGGTCCACAAGAAGGTGTCGATTATCAAGATCAACCAACATCTTGTAAGACCGTTTATATATAGGTATATATATATCTTTACATATATACATATATATATATATTTGCAACAAGATGTTGGCTCCATCTTCTCGTGCCCAAAAACTCATGTGACCTAGATGACGAGGTGCACTCACAGAGTGTCGAGGTCCCACAGACTGCTTAGACTGCTTGGCAAGGAACCTGTTAAGTAGTTCCCCGACAGATCCCTGCATGAGTGGAGTGCAATCAAAGCATGTGGAAGACAATGTTGCAAAGTGCAGTACATTGTCAGTTCAGTGCAGAAGTGCTGGAGCGGAATCGTAAAACGCGACTCAACGTAAGTGATGCATCATGCAATAAACTTCATGGCTCTACTCAGTAGGTGTACGCACAGGTGTGTGACGCGAGAAAGCTGTGACATAGTTGATGGGATAGTTCCAGACAATTTCTGATTCGATAAGTCACTATGGAAATAGTGGGGAGGGAATGGGAGAAAGTTGAGTTGAAGTGAGCATGAGGAAAATATGAGAACAAATGAGGAAAAGGTGAGGAGGGAAGTTAAAGCAGGAGGTGATTGGGAGGGAAGAGGGAGGGTACGTGCACAAGCAGCAGCTTGAAGTTTCCAAGAGGAAAATTGGGTGGACGTGGGGGAATACAAAAGGAAGAGGACAGGAAAACGGAGTGGAGAAAAGAGATTGGACGAAGGAAAATTGGGCGCACGCACGCACGGAAAGGATGGAAGTACAAGGCTAGGGAAATTATTACTAGCAGCGTTCACATCCCAACCTCCTGCACAACCTCATCATTTGCAGAAGAAAACATCACGCCTTCCACTCACAGGCTGACGATGAAGTTGTCAGAATCGTATGTGAGAAAGCGCAGGAGAGAATCCAGGGTTTCATTCTCCCAGGGTCCGCCAGGGCTTGAGCCCCACAATCCCAGCAGGTCCTTCAAGACTTCAGATGGTACCCATCACACGTGCAGCAGGGAGGAGCAATGCCTTGTTTGTGGGGGAGAGATCCTTAGTGATGGGGGGAAGAGACACATAGGAATGGACCATCCATGCGAAGATTTGTAATGGAAGAGTCAGAGGTGAGTGACGAACAAGAAGAACAAGCAAAGCGATTGACAAGGACGATGTTAACACGATGTCATCTGTTCCGTTCCCTAATACCCCTTCACCCAACATGAGTGCCTACCCTGTGAGCTCTCCAGCATCAAAACACAGGACTTTGCGGTAGGCCCAAGCACGTATTTGTCGAAGCACTGGCACGTCATATTGAGGTCCTGCGATTTAAGAGAGTCGCCGCCATAACAGTAACCATGACCGTCACAGGGGTCAACCGAAGGGGCAATCATCCCACAGAAGTCAGCGCAGTCTGATCGCTGTTCCTGCTCCAGCTTGCAAGGCACATCATTTGCAGGAAAACAGTTCCTCCGCACATTTCCCGAGGCCTGGGAACAGATATTGCGTGCAATGGTCCCCGACGTAAAGTGGTTGCCGCTTATTGAGCTGCAGGCAAGGAAAGGTGGGGTGAGAAAGATGGAAGGACGAGGGGCGGATGAAAGTAGGATGGGTGGGTGCGTGCGCTTGCAAACAATACGTGGGTGTGTGCAACAATGCCTGGGAATGTGCTACAATACCTGAGTGTGTGCTACAGTACCTGGGTGTGTGCAACAATACATGGGTGGGTGTGTGCAACAATACATGGGTGGGTGTGTGCAACAATACGTGGGTGGGTGTGTGCAACAATACGTGGGTGGGTGTGTGCAACAATACATGGGTGGGTGTGTGCAACAATACATGGGTGGGTGTGTGCAACAGTACGTGGGTGGGTGTGTGCAACGATACATGGGTGGGTGTGTGCAACAATACGTGGGTGGGTGTGTGCAACAATACATGGGTGGGTGTGTGCAACAATACCTGGGTGGGTGTGTGCAACAAAACGTGGGTGGGTGTGTGCAACAATACAAGGGTGGTTGTGTGCAACAATACGTGGGTGGGTGTGTGCAACAATACATGGGTGGGTGTGTGCAACAATACCTGGGTGGGTGTGTGCAACAATACATGGGTGGGTGTGTGCAACAATACGTGGGTGGGTGTGTGCAACAATACGTGGGTGGGTGTGTGCAACAATACATGGGTGGGTGTGTGCAACAAAACGTGGGTGGGTGTGTGCAACAATACAAGGGTGGGTGTGTGCAACAAAACGTGGGTGGGTGTGTGCAACAATACAAGGGTGGGTGTGTGCAACAAAACGTGGGTGGGTGTGTGCAACAATACAAGGGTGGGTGTGTGCATACGTGGGTGGGTGTGTGCAACAATACATGGGTGGGTGTGTGCAACAATACGTGGGTGGGTGTGTGCAACAATACGTGGGTGGGTGTGTGCAACAATACGTGGGTGGGTGTGTGCAACAATACGTGGGTGGGTGTGTGCAACAATACATGGGTGGGTGTGTGCAACAATACGTGGGTGGGTGTGTGCAACAATACATGGGTGGGTGTGTGCAACAATACGTGGGTGGGTGTGTGCAACAATACATGGGTGGGTGTGTGCAACAATACATGGGTGGGTGTGTGCAACAATACATGGGTGGGTGTGTGCAACAATACATGGGTGGGTGTGTGCAACAATACATGGGTGGGTGTGTGCAAAAATACATGGGTGGGTGTGTGCAACAATACGTGGGTGGGTGTGTGCAACAATACATGGGTGAGTGTGTGCAACAATACATGGGTGGGTGTGTGGAACAATACGTGGGTGGGTGTGTGCAACAATACATGGGTGGGTGTGTGCAACAATACATGGGTGGGTGTGTGCAACAATACATGGGTGGGTGTGTGCAACAATACGTGGGTGTCTGCAGAAAAAAACTGGGTCTGTCTGTCGTACTCACAAAAAACTTAAGCTGGTCAAATTAGCCAGGGTTGGAATGGATCCTGTCAAGTAGTTGTACGAGAGATCTCTGCCCAGAGAAATTCATGAAAAGACATGCAAGAACCTGCATCACTTACAGCACGCTCACTTTCTAACAGCAACATCACATGCTAACAGCAACATCACATGCTAACAGCAACGTCACATGCTAACAGCAACGTCACATGCTAACAGCAACATCACATGCTAACAGCAACGTCACATGCTAACAGCAACGTCACATGCTAACAGCAAGCAACGTCACATGCTAACAGCAACATCACATGCTAACAGCAACATCACATGCTAACAGCAACGTCACATGCTAACAGCAAGCAACGTCACATGCTAACAGCAACATCACATGCTAACAGCAACATCACATGCTAACAGCAACGTCACATGCTAACAGCAACGTCACATGCTAACAGCAACGTCACATGCTAACAGCAACGTCACAAGCTAACAGCAAGCAACGTCACATGCTAACAGCAACATCACATGCTAACAGCAACATCACATGCTAACAGCAACGTCACATGCTAACAGCAACGTCACATGCTAACAGCAACGTCACATGCTAACAGCAACGTCACATGCTAACAGCAACGTCACATGCTAACAGCAAGCAACGTCACATGCTAACAGCAACGTCACATGCTAACAGCAAGCAACGTCGCATGCTAACAGCAACATCACATGCTAACAGCAACATCACATGCTAACAGCAACGTCACATGCTAACAGCAACGTCACATGCTAACAGCAACATCACATGCTAACAGCAACGTCACATGCTAACAGCAACGTCACATGCTAACAGCAAGCAACGTCACATGCTAACAGCAACGTCACATGCTAACAGCAAGCAACGTCACATGCCAACAGCAAGCAACGTCACATGCTAACAGCAACGTCACATGCTAACAGCAAGCAACGTCACATGCTAACAGCAACGTCACATGCTAACAGCAAGCAACGTCACATGCTAACAGCAACATCACATGCTAACAGCAACATCACATGCTAACAGCAAGCAACGTCACATGCTAACAGCAACGTCACATGCTTACAGGAAATCAAGCCGATCCAGGCTTGCAACGTTGGGAAAAGGGCCGAAGAAGCGATTAGAATCGAGAGTACTGTATTGGTTAAGAAACAGAGAGATGTGGATGGGTTGCGGACGTTCAGATAAGTTGGAT